GTCCCAACTGCCATTTTGTCAAAAAAAAAAAAACATACTCCTACATATTCTACTTTCTTGACCCTACATCTCAGCCAGCCGACTACCGAATCCCAACGGTTGACAAACACAAAGTCAGAATTAATACTCTATTATTCTCGGTAACTGAATGTCAGGCATAAATTCAATGGCAGCAGATACATTTTCGCAAGAGTCCATGGAAATTGTCGAAATTTTGAGTTCCTATCAGCAGCTTAATGTTTCTTAATGAATCAAGTAGTGGGAAAATTTTAGGCCTAGCTGAAATGTTGAACTTTTTTACTTAATTCGCTTAGTGGGGGTGGAGTCCAGCTGGGTCCACTCGGCACGTCGGCCAGTGATTGGCCTATTGTACCTTCCCCAGGTGATTATGATGATGGAGAATTTGGTGGAATGAAAATTGGCAGGGGAAACCGAAGCACTCGGAGAAAACCTGCCCCAGAACCACTTTGACCACCACAAATCCCACTTGACCAGACCCGGGCTCGAACACGGGCCGCAGGGGTGGGAAGCCAGCGACTAACCGCTTGAGCTATGGCATGCCAAAGTTGAACTTAGTTTCAACTGTAAGATACGTAAATCATTATTTTATCCGTTAAAACAAAAAACGCTAAAGTACGACGTGTCGTATTTTCATGGTATGCTTGCCAGCTACACACTCCAAAACCTCCAAATGTCCGTAGGCTTATGATCAGAGTATGGTAAAACGCAACAGTTTTATAACATAATACATTAAATGAAGTGTTACTTAGCACATACCGTTAAACTCATATCTGCATGCGAATGATAGACTAATACATGCGTTCAACATTGAAACATAACCCTTTTCATCATTTACAGGCTAATTTCATTATAGCGCCATTCGACTTACCATCGTATCCTGTAATGCTGCTGGGCTTCATTGCACATGGCACTGTGCGTATCCACACTGTAACTGGACAAGTTTATATTATAATAATTTCAGTTTATATGTGAATGGGCCGCGCCATAGCTCAAGCGGTTAGTCGCTGGCTTCCCACGGCGGCGGCCTGGGTTCGATCCCGGGGTCTGGTCAAGTGGAATTTGTGGTGGGCAAAGTGGCGCTGGGGCAGGTTTTCTCCTAGTACTTCGGTTTCCCCTGCCAATCTTCATTCCACTNTACAGAGGGCCGGATGTGCATTGCCTAGGACTTTTGTGTATTTACAGTTATTTTTCACAATAAAAAAAAACAAACTATCTTCTGTGTTTTTGCATGCATGTGCATGATATCTGANGGAATGACTATTTAAAGTTCACTGATTATAATATATTAAACAAATATAATATGACACGTAATAATTTCACATCATAATCTTCAACATAATAAGCACTTAGCATAAACACCACTTCTCGAGACGAACACTTCGCATAGGCTTCGCTTCCTGTATTTCCGGAAATGTGCAGCATGACAGAATGTTTGCAACATATAACAAAGCAATATCATTCTGTCAAATTCACGGATTATTTTATGTGACAAGGCACGGAGAATATTTTGGTGGTCGAATAGCAGGTGACCTTAATACCGGCTGATCTTATTGCCGGTTACAGCTACCCACACAGCAGTCTTCATCGGCTAGGGGAAGCACGGTATGCATGACACCGCCGCCACCAACGGGTAAAAGTGGACAGTCTGTCGGAGAACAGTAAAAACTACGATAATTAGTTACAGAGCTCTTAAGGCTAGAAGAAAAAAGATTTGTGCAAGGCGTCTGTTACTTCATAAACAGTATTCCTATATTTATTTCAAAACAAATGTAAGAAAGAAAGAAGTAAATTAATTAATTAATAATAGGATACTCTCAGATGCAAGTTAAGATCTATATGAAGAATTGCGGGGAGACAGCTGTAATAGAATAAGATGTTTATAACAGTTGCTACAGAGTACAGAGGGCCGGATGTGCATTGCCTAGGACTTTTGTGTATTTACAGTTATTTTCCACAATAAAAAACGTTGGCACCCAATGGTGTTTAGTCTAAGTCTACATGTTCATCAGCTTGTAACACGCGATGACAATCGACAGTTTTGATGTGTAGTAGCATTTCTTTGCACATAAGAGCATATACAGTTGACCAAACGGAGGAAACGACTGGAGCTATGCACAGTCTTGTCAACATACACTTAAAAAACATTTGCTGAGACATGTATAGTTTTCATATAATTCCTACTTTAAAAATTAAAAGCAACCTTTTCTTTCCTAATTTTTTATTTTGTCAAAATGTTGGATGTTGCATAATTCTCAGACAAAAAATTAACAATATTTTGCAGCTTGTCTCCCACTTTCTCCAAATGGTACCAGAACTCTCGTATTTGAAATCTGCAGTCAAGCAAATTTACCAGATACACTTTAAAATTGTAAAATTATTTATGCTTTAAGGAAATAGGCTGTGAGAGTGTTAATTTGATTTACCTGAGGCAGAATATGGTTCAGTGGTGGACTTCCAAGAATAAGATAATGAACGTTCTGGTTCCTTAGAAGGTTGGTAATTTCTTGACCCGCTGAGAAACTTTCAGTTTCTCTAGTATCATGATCTACAGTAGCTGTTTAAGTTCTAGAGGAGTCTGTTTAAACATATGAAAGAATTTAGAGAAAGTAGAGAGGGCAAGCTTTTCTTATACTGTGTTATAAATGCAAAATAATTAGGGAGATGGAATAGTGCAGATAGTGTAGTGACTGGGCAATGGGTGGGATAGCCATGCAATCAGGCTTCTATAGCTTGCAAGGGGCATGAGATATTTTCTTGACTGCTGCATCTCTGACAGCTCTTATACACATACAACTTTCTATTTAATGTGTGCCTGGGATCTTTCTGCAGTAAAGCGGCTGGGGCTTGAAGCTAGCAACTCACTTTCACCTAGTGTTGAGGTTAAATATATATGGTGCTACTCCTTCACTCCACTTAATCTTTATAGCATAATGCTTAATTCAGCACAACTTTGCCTTTATTGGGTTAAGGTTACATAACATATATTGATATAATGGATGGCCTAAAGCATGAAAATAAATCTCTGGAGGCTAATGGGAAAGTACCACCCCAAGATTTTAACAGCTGTGCTAGTGCATGATGTTACCATCATTCCAGTCTGAAGGTGTGGCATGCCTGCAACACTGCATGAAGATGCACAGTACCATCACTCTCAAACAAGATCTGCATCCCAACACGGTTCACTGGGTTCTACCCCAGGACAGGTCATGTGGCATTTGTGGTGGATAAAATTGCACTGGGGCAGGTTTTCTCCAAGCACTTCAATTTTCCCTGACAATTCTTATTCCACCAGCTGATCTATATTCTAACATCCTATCATCAACTCTATGCAGTCTTGTACTGATAACATCATCAATAACTTTAAAGGAAGAAAATGAATCACTGTTAAAACCTAAACTCTTCTATAATACAATTATGATACCAAGGTTAACTTTAATNAGCTGAGAAACTTTCATTTTCTCTAGTATCATGATCTACAGTACCATAGTTGGTTGAGGTTCTATGCTGCAAGCTCAAAGGTCACAGGTGTGATTACCAATGTCACTGGATTTTTCACTTGACCTAATCCTTCCAGCCACACTACAGCCCAAAAAAAGTACCAGGAATCTTCCTGGAGGGTAAAGGGCAGCCAGCTGACACATAAGACTGACAGCTTCACTACCATCTGTGAGCCAACTGTCTAGAGAAAATGTGAGAGCCTCACTGTCTCACAACCCTATGGGTCTCCCGGGATACTTTTACCTTACTTACCAGGTATCTTAATGCATACAAATCAACTCACTTCATGTTAATGAATTAAAAGGATCCAATCAAACTTCAGTTTCCATAACCATTTTCTGTTATGACTCATGCCTGCAGGTGTGTGGTACTTAACCATTCTGACCCCTACTTCCTATTAAAGATAGGAATCCACATTTAGCACAGATCATGTAGGGTTTGTATTTTGCACCCTGATAGAAAACATGAAGAGAATGGCAAGCAGAGGGAGCCTCTGGTTTCACACGGAAAACAAACCACAGTATGGAGTTGATATTCCTCACATTTGTGGCTTATTTCATGTCACCATTAGTAGTTAGACTGTATAGCATCAAATATCACATTTTGTCCTTGTCAAATGTAAATGTAAGGAAGGGGATATGCATACTGATATGTACATTGAATCCAGACTGTCTCAAACCCAAGAACTTCTGTCCAGAGGAGTGGTACCTTCTTCCCAGAACAGGTTCCACATAGCCATTTCATAAAATAAGTGATACATCATACAAACATATACAACATAATTTATTCATAAATACGTATTACAAATTTTCTATGGCAATTTATTTATCCAGAAATATTAAACAATATGTTTGATTATCATCTCCTTACTATAACTGTAAACATAAAGTAAGACTACAATACATTGTTCTACAATTTCTTGTGAAGATAATTTCACTACCAATCCAGAGATCTGATATTAAAACATGATGACTTCATACACCAAAACAAGAAATACCAGTTCTGAAAACTAACAACTGTAATCTATCCAAAGGACAAACAAGATTAAAACAAATTCTCCTTACACACGAAGGAAAGTCTTCCACTACACTTCAACCAATAGAAATAATTCTTAAAAGGAAATATTCTCATATGAGAACTCTAGGAATACTGCATTTTGAGGTATGCCAAAATTACCAGACATTGTTCGGTTTGTGTTACATAGAGTACATCTGTATGAAAATGCCTCTATGCTGAAGTGTTATTGTACCTAATTTTTTTAATCATTATTCAATGCATATAAATTTATCCCTGTGCTTAACTAATTAAGCACTACACCATGAAGGCATATGGGGGAGTGGATGTATAATCATCATCATCATCATCATCACTGGCACAACAGCCCTTTGTGGGCCCTGGCCTTCCTCAGGATTGCTCGCCATTCTTCTCCATTCGATGCTACATTCCTCCAGTTCTTTACACCCAAAATTCTTATGTCCTGCCACACACATTCTTCCCATCTTAATCTTGGTCTTCCCACTCTCCCATTTCCTTCTGGTTTAGTATTAAGCATTTTCTTTCCAATCCAGTCACGTCCCTGCCCCATATCTTCACCCCCTTTCTTGGGTCTCAGCAACAGTGACCTACTTCCTTGAAAGCTGCCTAGATACCTCTAAGATACATGGTGTCACAACCTAGAAGACTGTAATCTAAATAATCACTTGTCTGAAAACCTCAAAATTTATGTAAGATCCATGCAACAAATTCCATTGTAAATAATTAAAATCTTCACTTATATCCTTTCATTTTCTTCATATACATTACAATTTTCAGTGTTCATATAATGTTTCATTAGACCACAAAAATCGTAAGATACTTATAAGTAAAATTATTTCCAGTAAAAACAACATCAAGTTCTAATAAAATTTCTGTTAAAAAAAAAAACTTAGAATGGGAATCAGTTGCTGAGACTGCTTTAGAAACTTACATGTACTATATCTTGACATAAACTACGAAACTGATTTAAGATATTTATAAGACACAAGATGAAGCTTTATGTTTAATCATGTACTATTTATTTCCACTTACTACACAAAGAATAACCTTGTTCATGTTTTTAACGTTTACCACCAACAGCAACAATGACAATTTATAAAGTGAGGAACAAAAAACAAAAAACTCCATGGCCTATAGTCCGCCAGCAAACTATACCACCTGAGCAACCACCGCTTGTTGGCGAAGTTAGTTTGTTTCAAGTGATGGCACAGCTAAAGATTGATCGCTCAGAGATAAACTGAGGAACAGCTGCATAAATTATGACACTTAATTTAAATCTGACTTAAGTGGCAAGGGAACAATATCACAGATAATTGAGCCTGCAAAGAAAGTTGTATAAAACATCACAATCTATAAAGCAGTATACAGTACTTTAAAGGCTTGACTGACAAAAGAAAATTACAAGTGTGCCACATGAGTTAATATTTAACACATCACGTAACCCTGATGTATTCCACAGTGATTGAATAAACTGGGGGCAATTTACAGCACAATTTAGAATCCTGTTTACATATGTAATTTTCAGATATGTACAAAATCCACATAATTACATTGGTTGTGAGTTTTTCTTTTTGGCTATTTTATAACACTATCAGTATCAAGACTATATAGTGTCAAGGTTCAATCTCCAAACCATAAAACACAAATATTTGACTAGAGAGGTTACCTATGTTGCTGTTCATTACTAAGAAGAAATGCTGCTTCTCTAACCATGCTGTAATTAGAATGTATATATGCTTTTGTCTCCCACAGCATATTCACTAGTTTTTCATCATTTTTTTCATCCATTGATATATCTTCTGACAACTGTGGAGTGAAGCGATAATATGGCACACCAGTCATGGAACACCAAGCCCTCGCACGATGTACAACTCGTCCATCACTTGCTGTGGCCTAAACAAGTCATAAAACTGAATGTACTAGCAAATGATCACCGATGCTTTCACACACTCCAGTTTTCCACACACAAAGAAAGTATTGGGAGAGGGACAAAAGTCACACCAATTAATTCCCTTTTAGAGGAGCTGAAAGAAAGATATGGCAGAAAAACCTTAATTAGCCCACTGCAAACCTCAAATTCATGGAATGTTTCTCTTTACACTTTCAGTAATGTAATGTATAACAAGTAACTATGTTCTCCCATTGGATTATATTACAAAATCAAATGTGTAAGGAAAGGATACAACATAGGTTCAGGAAACCATGTGAGAATGAAATAAACAGGACACATCAGCTGTTGGTCTATGCTGGTGATGTGAATCTACTGGGTGATAGTATGGATACCACGAAGAAAAACATACAAACTTTAATTGACACTAGTAAGAAGGCTAGTTGGGAAGTAAACACAGAGAAAGCTAAGTATATGTTGCTGTCTTGTCAGCAGAATGCAGGGCAAAATTATGACATAAAGACAGGTAACAGATGTTTTGAAAATGTGGCACAGTTCAGATATTTTGGAACAATTATAACAAATCAAAACCTGATTCAGGAGGAAATTAAGAGGCGATTGAACTCAGGTAATGCTTGCTACCATTCAGTCCAGAACCTTCTGTCTTCTCGTCTGCTGTCTAAAAACATAAAAATTAGAATATGCAAAAATATAATTTTGCTTGTGGTTTGTATGGGCGTGAAACTTGGTATCTAACATTAAGGGAGGAACACAGACTGAGGGCGTTTGAGAACAGGGCGGTGAGGAGAATATTTTGACCAAAGAGAGATGAACTGACAGGAGGTTTGAGAAAACTGCACAATGAGGAGCTTCATAACTTGTACTCTTCTCCAAGTATAATTAGAATGATCAAGTCAAGGAGGATGATATGGGCAGAGCATGTAGCATGAATGAGAAGAGGAATGCACATAGGATAGGAAAGAGACCACTGGGAAGACCAAGACATAGGTGGATGGACAATATTAATATGGATCTTAGAGAGATAGGATGGCATGGATTGGATTGATCTGGCTCTGGATAGGGACCTTTGGAGGGCTCTTGTGAACATGGTATTGAACCTTCACATTCCACAAAATGCTGGGAACTTCTTGAGGAGCTGCACAATAGGTGGCTTCTCAAGAAGGGCTCAGCATCATGAATGAGTGAACAATGATACAATGAATATTTACCTGATCAACCAAGAGGGCTCCAAGGGCTGACACACCAACAGCTAGTCGAGCTGTATCCCACAGGCTCTCTGGACGAAACACATCAATCTCCTTCTGCTGCATGAGGCAATGACACAATATTCATCAGTTCACTCAAACCCTGCATACCTGATGAACCATGATTCTCAAACATGATGTTTCCTTCCTAACGTGCATTCCTGTACTTCCCCTTGGAGTAATGAAGACCAGCTGTCACAAAGTATAAACTGGGCGAGATGTTTAAGCTTTAAAAGCCCAATGACAACTTTCCTCATCACTGAAGGTAACTGCTGGTGGCCCAGTGTTGACCAAACTTGTAAGCAAACTGTACCTATACATGTAACACCGACCTTGGCATTTAACTCTCTTAAGTACAGCTCAGTTGGTGTAGCAATGGGCTACAGGTCAGATGACTGGGGTTCAATTCCAGGCAGGGGGAAGAGAATTTTCTGTTCTCCCACAGTGTCCAGGCTGATTCTGGAGTTCACCCAGCCTCCTATCCAATAGGTACCGAAAGCACTTTGCTTGGGGTTACAGTGGCATGGGTGTGAAGCTCACCACTCACCTCCACCAAGTGCCAAATTCAAGAATACTTGGAGCTATGCCTTCACTCCCCCACAGGTATTCAAAATGTGATGCTTAATTAATTAAGCACAGGGATAACTTTACATTTTACAGATAAGAAGCCTATGATGTTGGCTACTGAAGCCAATTTAACCGCAGTCTCAAGAGTCTACACGTGAAAAATTTATGAAATATGATTGAACTAACAGGTAAGATATACAGAAACCTGAGCCCCACAGTAACGTTAACAAATTCCACTTCTACCACCATGTTCTTCTCCTACATTGAGGGACTAAAGAACCTTGAACTGTAAGTACAAGGAACTTAACATGATACTTACCTGTGTTACAGGAACCAGGCCTGTTCCTAGTGAGACTACTATAGTAAGAGGTTTCACCTCAGAAGTTCTGCCAACTGCTTGGAGAGCAAGGTTATATTCATGGATCTCAGTCATAGCATCCAGTGTTGGGTTGTTTGCTATGAGACCTCCATCTAGGAAACGTCCAAAGGCCCTGTTAACATGTACACCGACATACTACGTGAGGGTACTGGGCAGTGCACACTACAAATCAGTGACCTGCAGATATGAAGTTCAGTAACCATGTACATAAGATTTACTGACTCTTAGTTTAGTGACACTTTCACTCTCACATCTGATTTTTGATTCTTGATATTTACTCTGTGCAGATACAAATCTCTTGTAAATACAGTAATGTACAGTATGATTACTGAATAAAATCATACATTATAATGTTAACAGAGACAATCTGCTACATACAACAGTATTGTGACATATAGGCTGTTTCTAGGAAATTAATTTTTTTTATTGCTAGTGGGGTGGGACTAATTTTTTTTATTGCTAGCGGGGTGGGACTAAGTCCCTTGTACTGCAGCCACTTCTGGCCTACTATACCAGCCCCAGATGATAGGTGAGGGTAATTATGGAGCAATTTGTGGAATGAAGCATGGCAGGGGAAACCGAAGTACTCAGAGAAAACCTGCCCCAGCGTCACTTTGTCCACCACAAATCCCACTTCACCAGACCCAGGATCGAAGCCGGGCCACCGCGGTGAGAAGTCAGTGACTAACCGCTTGAGCTATGGTGCGGCCTTTAGGAAATGAATAGGCAGACACATTGCCACAGAAGGATTGACTCCTGGAAGTGAACTAATTATGAATCATGGTTTCTGTCGATACAGACAATGAAAGTCGTAAACATTTAGAAACGAGACCTTTGCATGAGAATTAATACATGGTTTCTGAGACAACGCATTCATAAAACACAGAAATGGAACTTTTGGAGGCAGTGATTTCTATCGGAGCTGCATGGCAGTTATAAAAGACAGTGGATTCATATACTCCACCTCTCGTTAGAGAGGGCGCCCCACATGGACAGGACAGTAACTGTCATCTAAAAAGAAACATTTGGTAATGAGCCCCAGCCAAGGCTCAACACCAAGACAGACAGACAGACAGACAGACAGACTGACTGACCGTCAGTCGTGATGTGACTTTGACTTAAATTCAAGGAGTAGAAGCAATCAGTCTGAGATTAGTGAGAGTCTAGCAAGAGATTCGTCAGACATACATCGTTAAGGAGGAGTTCAATGTGTGAGCTGTTATAATGAACAGTAATTATGGAGAAGTGCCACTAAACCAAAATCATCATATCCGGAACCCACTATTATTCGTCAAACAAACCCCTTATATGTGACAATGTAAATTATTTTTGCAAATTAAAATCTTTTAATGTACCAGCTCAGATATACCTGAAATAAGAAGGGGCTGCACCAGTGGCACGAGCTGCACGCCACAGCAACTGCTCTTCTGGGCTAAGCGTGGGCTTAAACAGTCCCACCTCTTCCAAACCAATCACTCTGCTGGGTGAAGGGTAGTTCCGGAACATGTGGAGGGCCACGGGCTTGCGGTCTGCCAAAACCCCTGTGATGATGACCCTAAGAATCAAGTACCTTGATATGTTATTTAGGAAAAAACAGAGTAGCCAATTACCAAAATCAAAGACACTTGACACTTTGTGGACGGGTGGCATATTTTTATGCCCAGCGCTTTTAAACGTGGCGGACCGGTGGCATATTATTATGATTTTAGGACACGTTATGTTGAAACACAGTATACCTTGCACTGGCGCCAGGCAGACACATGACTGGTGCGTTATAGACCTCTTGAATGTTTGCTTCGTAGTCAGTAACATGACGCCGCTGTTTATGACCCAACTGTTTTCCTTTCCCACTCCAAAAGAAAATGCTTTTGTTCATCTTCCAGCTGCATGCACCAGGCAGGAAGTTACTAGTGCAAAATGGATCAAGGTCGGAAGAGGTTGAGGTCCAAGCGTTTTCTCGAAGAACAAGAAATATCTGACTTGTTCTCCAATGAGCTATCTGACGTCCCTTGTGAGTCTGCTAGTAATAGCGACTCACAATCTGATAGTGAGTGTGGCAGGTGCAAACAAAAACAGTGAAAGTGAAAGTGAAAGTGACAGTAGCTCCGACGAAAGTGCAGGTAGCAACTTTGGGGGGACAGCCACATGGAGAAAAGTAGACAAAACGCCTGCTTTGGGACAGTTTACTGGAAATCCAGGGGTGAAGCAAATTCCATCGGACCCAACGCAAGTGTCTGAAGTAGGGGAACTGTTTTTTGGAGACAGTTTCTTTGACATGCTATGTCAGGAAACTAACAGATACTATCTCCAACAACGTGAACATTATGACAGAAGTTATACAATTGTGAAGAGTGAACATGCCAAGGGGAAGCAGCCTTCTAGGTGATGCCATGTTTGCGCAGCACACAATAAAAGGAGTATGACTGTTTACAGGTGCAAGTTCTGTGTAATGCCACTTCACAAAGGGGAATGTTACCAGAAATATCACACTCTCTAGCACTTCTAGGAGCATTGGTAAGTGTTCTCCAAAAATTTTAGTTCATAAAATTAATTAGATTTTATATTAATTTTTAAATTGAACAGTGCACAAGTTAGGGTAGTAGGTTCAAAAATGCAGGTCACCAGGGTGATTTAAATATTTAAATGGCTCGTCCGCAAAGTGTTAAGTGTGTCTGGCCATTTATAACTTACATCTGCAAGACTGTAGAGAAGCAAAAGAACTTTATTACAACTCTTCAGGATTCAACCTCACTTTGAAACAAACTATCACATCTAATGTCATTGCAGCCGTCATCACTGTCACCTACCTAGTTGACCTTTCTCGTTTCTGCCAACCTAAAATCTGGTATCAGTGTTTTGCTCTATCTGACTCAAAACAGCACTAGTCTGCAGTTATGTGTTGACCAGGCATGTTGTTTGTTGTGTGCTGCACTCACAAGCACTACTAGACATACTCGTAGGTACATGGAACACTGCAAGCTTGCAACTGCACTCTTCAACATCTGGAGCTGAGTTGAAGATCTGACAACATTGCTACATTTACATTACATTTTACATTACACAACAGTTGTGCTACAAATACAACTTTGCAGAGTGAAACTGCATATATTGAACACAATTCCCCCTTTCCCTTGCATTACACCCTCACAAAGCCAAACAATAACCCAGTAACATTTCTCCCTTCTCTTCCAATTGGTCAGCCAGCAGCTTGCTTTAATATGAGTACTATTATATGAAATCAGCCTAACTTAGTTGAGCATTAAAATGAAATCACATTTTTCAAATGTGGAGTACCCGTACAGTTTAGAAACCTTACATATAACAATACTGGATCATGCTAAAGCAAAATCTCTAGAACACAACTCTTTTCCATAAGAACTTGTGAAACAAATGAACCATTTCTATAATTTCTCACCCAAACTTACTTAGGATATTGTATATCAGACATCACAGTATGTGTCCCAAGGGCCTCTTTCAGAATATTCTCCAATGGCTCACTGTTATAAGGTCGTCCACCCACAAAGGCATGTTCCTTCATTCGGAAATATAGGCACAAACACTCCTTAAGGCTTTTACCTATATTAAATATTAAGAATCATTAAACCTTAAATGTCATATGAGGGTTCAGTAACATCAAGAGAGTTAAACAGCATATCAATATGTGAAGAAGGCTGGACAGAACACAAGGATACTGGTCAATTGTGGTAAGATTTACAACTTTATCCGAAAAAAAAAAAAAAGCTGATGCACTCAAGGATACTTATTGCAAGTTCCAAAATAATAATCAACCAAAACAATCCAAGTGGAGCTAATGAAATGAGACAGTTCCTATGTCTTTGATGGAAAAATATGCTACTAACTTTCTCTCTTTTAACTTCAAACAAACTCAATTCATACTGTTTTTGACATTCTGTTAACAACTGGATTTGGTAAGCCGTATCACTAAACTGGAATGGAATTATGTGGCCAGAATGCAAAGATAATCTATTCTACTGACAGCAAACTGTTTACACACACCCCAAGTGGTAAGCTACAAAAATTACTGGGAATGCAAATTTTATTTCAAAGAAATACTTTGATAAAAACAACTAAATTACTGCTAAAATACCAATTTAAGTGTCAGTGAAAATTAAATTTATGTTCATATAAGAAGAAATTTTTTTTTTCTATTTAAGTTTTGGTATGCAGCCTTACAAAGGTTTGTTGACATTTTGGGTCTAAGCTATAAACAAACCTGCAGCAAGTCCCAAGGCCAGAATTCCGCCAGTGCTGGTACCTGCCATCCAATCAAAACACTGAATCACTGGGAATCCCACTGCCTTTTCCAGCTCCAGCAGAATCACAACCAACACCAGTCCTCGTATGCCACCTCCATCTAGACAGAGCAGGCGTCCCCCTCTGCTACCTTTATCTGCAGCCATAACTCTGCATCACAGTATAAACTGTCATTACATCACTGTCATGCTATTGTTTTTATCCATTCAAAGCACCTAAAGGAGTCGGGACAACTCAGTCAGCACAAAAACAGGCTATGAGCGGGACAGAAGGCATTCAATTCCTGGCAGAGGCTAGATTTTTCTCTGCCTATATATATATATACATCATGCAAATAACAACAGAAAAGGTATGTATATTAAATTTTATTATAATCTATATAAATATAAATGTAAATGTTCGTTTGTTCAGGATCTTAAATCTCTGAAAGTTCTTCACCGATTACTTCGAAATTTTGACACAACGTTGCATTCGAATGCGCACGTTTTTATATACCTATTATATAGATGGCACACCTGTGACAGGTAAAAACATGCTTCTTTTGAAAAACAGAATTGGAATCTGGAATTCAGAAGTCACATCTATGGAAACGCTAGAACCGACCGTTGCATAGGAAGTAACAATAGCGATACTGTATCAAATCTCCATGGTTACGACGAATACACAGAGCGTTCCCACAGAGACAACGCAATAACAATGGGTCGTTGTGTAGGAATCACGGAATCAACAAAGCAGCGTTTCCGCAGTTATGACAAAGGCTCATTTACATAGCAGCGGCAAGGGTATAATAGGGGGTTGAATTCATTCGCCCAGTCAGTCTTGGAATAGCTGCCACTGAAGAAGGTTGGAACCTAGACGCCAAGAGATACGGAAGTATTGGCCGAGATATTGTGTAACCAGTAACTCTAATACTGCAAGTGGCGATAATTGTAAAGTGTGCAAGTGAATTACAATAAAGATTCGCTATAATTAATATGGCGTAAAGTTATTTGTAGCGTGACATATCCAAACACGCTACATGCATTACTGATGCGTGCAACACGTCACATCCACATCAAATTCGTGCATTGTTTGCAATCATACGGACCGCCTGCTCTCCTTCATCTCCAACAGAGTTATGGGAGAAATATAAATCGCAAATGGCTAAAGATATCTTCTGTCGAATACGCAAGGAAAATTCCAATATGAACATGGATTTCACAGCAGAAATCTGCAATGGAGCGTTGATAATTATTGAAGATTTGTGCTTAGAAATCGCGAACAAAGTTCTCAATCAATTGGGAATGCCATCACCGAATCGATCTGCTGCTGCTTCGTTCAATGTAGAATTGCATGGTATACAAAATTACAACACGGGTGATCTTTTGTCGTATGTGCAACCAAATATTCCTAAGCTATGCAACCGAATATTCCTAAGCTAACGCTTGAGGAAAAAAAGCATTTACGATCAAATAATGCAAACTGTCAATAACGGGGTTGCAGAATTATTCTTCTTAGATGTCCCAGGAGGAACTGGTAAAACGTTCCTAATTAGATTGATTCTGGCAGCAATTTGATCCCAAAATGACATAGCCTTAGCTCTTGCGTCATCCGGAATAGCTTCGACATTGCTACCACGTGGAAGAACTGCTCATTCCGCTTTGAAATTGCCATTGAACATGCAATTCACTGAAACTCCCACGTGCAACATTTCCAAAGGATCAGGCATGGGAAGGGTATTGCAGAAATGCAAACTTATTGTTTGGGATGAATGCACAGTGGCGCACAAAAAAATTGCTCGAGGCTCTTCATCGATCATTGCAAGATTTGCGTAGGAACATCAGACCATTTGGGAACGCATTAATATTGCTTGCAGGAGATTTCAGGCAAACATTACCTGTAATTCCTCGATCGACACCAGCGGACGAAATAAATGCTTGCCTGAAATACTCTACTTTGTGGTGACACGTAAAGACGTTAAAATTAACTACAAATATGCGTGTCCAGCTGCAAAATGATCGATCAGCTGAGATATTCTCACATCAATTGCTGGAAATTGGGAAGCGAAAGGTGCCGGTTGATCTGACCTCAGGACGAATTTCGTTGCCTCATAACTTCTGCAATTTAGTGATGTCAAAAGAAGAATTGGTTGAAAAAGTATTTCCCAATATTCAAACCAATTATAAGAATCACGACTGGCTGAGTGAATGAGCTATTCTTGCGGCCAAGAACAAAGACGTCTACGAACTTAACAATATCATTCAGTCTAACATTCACTGCGAGGCAGTCACAAACAAGTCCGTCGACACTGCTGTAGAAGCACATGAAGCGGTTAATTATCCAACAGAATTTTTGAATTCACTTGATCTGCCACAGCAACACGTGGCCGGGTACAGCTAGTTAAAAATAATTCTTTAGGACTGTTAATGTGCTCCTACTAGCAGCGTTTAAATGCCTGAATGCATGAATATGTGTACTTTCAACAAGATGACTGCACCTTTCAGCATACCAACATGTGCACTTCTGATGTAAAGAGTTAAATATATTCTGTTTAAGGTTTAACTCAATTTAGTATTCAAATTCACTGTTTCCCTGAGAAGCCAAAACATATGGCATACAAAAGTTGTCTAGATATTTAAATTTAAATACAAAATTACTTATGTTGAATGGTTTATAATCAAGTTGACTTCCAAATGTGTAGTGCCATAAAATATCCGGTATCAAAGTCTAATATAAACACATAAGGTTCAAACTAATAACTTCACTGGAAGACATTACCGATTGGCTGCAACATCCATGCCTGCAACTGACAGCATTTGGTTCAAGATCTCCCGTGATTCTGAAGAAGGTGGAGTTGCTGGAGGTACACCATTGTAATCAAATGAGGAACCCTCACATCCTCGGTTGCAGCCCTGCATGTTAAGTGAACATCGTGGTGCTCCAACAGAATGCAAGACATATAGAATCTTATCACCACCAGATTCAGGCGCTATGCCATGACGAGGAGTTGCTCCCATATTGTTCCTGATCAAAAATACCAAATATTTCATCATACATTTACCATGTTATCTTTTAAATTATGAATCATTTACCAGTTCAATGTACATCAATATAACTATTATTCTGGATTCTGTCCATCATCCGCACTTCTAAAACTGTTACATTTCCAAAACTGACTCTTATTATCACAAATTAAGTCATGCAAAACTTTCTTACTACTTATAAATAAGCAGTGAAATATGAGAAATATACAAAGTTCTCATACTCATAAGTCAAATCTGCTCCGAACACTACAAGGGCCTGCACAATGGCATAACTGCCTTCTGTGACTGCCAGATGGAGCGGGGTATTGCCATCATTATCACCAATGTTGACATCAGCATCACGACTCAGGAGTGCCACAACACACTCCAAACGCTTCCTCAATACCATGATGTGAAGAGCTGTACGTCCATCAAAGTTGCGTGAATTTATATCACAACCCATATTTACGAGTGTTTCAATGACCTCTCTTGAGCATGACCAATGGAGAGGAGTCCCACCAAATTTCATATCCTGCAAAATGTTGAAATTTGACCTCTTTACAACATCATCATTAAATACAAGGTGGTTCAAATATGACCGGGACTGATTTGTGTGTAAGCAAGCAGCACTGCGCAGCAGCTGTGCAACCTTGAGAGAGTGAAGCCACAACCTTCACCCTCCCTCCTGTTAGGGTTAGAACCTGTTCAGTCCTGTCTGGGAGTTGCTAGAATGATGAGTGAACAGAAGGTACCAGGGAGCATGGAACAACGCATTGTGATCAAATTCCTCATTGGAGAAAACGTCCCGTCCGCTGAAATTCACCACAGACTCCAACAACAGTATGGGCAAGAGTGTCTCTCATGGACCCGTGTGTTTGAGTGGTGTAAGTGTTCCAGAGAGGGCGGAGAAGGCGTGGAGAATGAACGGCATGATCGTCAGCCATGAACATCGGTCACCAAGCCAAACACTGATCGTGCAGACACACTTATTCATGAGAGTAGGTGCATCACTATCAAGGAACTTGGAGCAATGCTGTCCATCAGTGTTGGTAGTGTAGAAAACATTGTGAAATATAATCTGCACTATCACAAGGTGAATGTACGGTGGGTACCACACACTTTGACGGATGTGAACAAAATGGTGCGCATGCAAGCTGCCAGTCGTCTCCTACAGCAGTTTCAAGACGAAGGTGATGCATTTTTGAAGTCTATAGTGACCACCAATGAAACGTGGGTGCATTACTTCATTCNTGCACGCCCCCATATGGCCAAAACAATGGAAACTCTCCGGAAACTGAAATGGAACCTTCTGACATATTCGACGTAGAGTCCTGATTTGGCACCAAGTGATTTCTACCTGTTCGGAAGGCTCAAATCAGACTTGCAAGGCATGCAGTTTGTGGACAACGCCGTCATCCAGACTGTTTGGGAGTGGATACGCCTCCAACCACAAGCCTTTTTTGAAAAGGGCATCAGGATGCTTCCAGAACGTTGGTAAAAATGTGTTGACTCTGGAGGGGAGTACGTTGAAGACTGACATGTGCAAGTAAGTGTTTGGCAATTATGGTTTTTTAAAAAAATCAGTCCCAGTTATATTTGAACCACCTTGTACATCAACTCTCCATTATCCAGAATATATGGTGGATGGCATGTCCTTGTCATACGACAAAAACTCTTACAGATAACTAATATAAACTCACAACAAGTTGTCCCACTTTAGTTTCTGAGTCAGAGTCTTCTTATGTGATATAGCAGGGTGAAAGATTTTTGATACCTAAACTGTAATGAGAAAACAAATTCATCTAGCCTCTACTGCAATGGCACCTAAATGATGGGGGACAAGGGGTAACACTGGGAAAACAACTACATGGTAGGTGAACATATTGGTATTGCAAACTTGTTTTTTTTAGTAACATGATAAAGTCTGGTTTGAAAATCATGTTAAGTACAGGTTACATTCGATCAATGCAGCCGACATGAAACTTGTCTGACAAGCTTAGTGTAGATCCCTCCTCCCCCTATCCAATACCAAATTTCATTAAAATTCACTGAATAGTTTTGGGGATGAAACATTCAGGTCAACACACGTCCCCTACACTGCCACCCCAATTTTAATGTATTTATGTAGAGAACACATACACACATAACTGTAAAATATTTTAAGGGGCCTATTTTTTAAATTTAAAAAGAAAGGAGATACAAATTACAACTTCATGCACATAGATTTAACTTGAACTGACAAAAAAAATAGTTTCTCTGCTTTCTTGAGTAAACTGAACATCCTCTACAACTGGGCTGTTCAACCAGTGACACATAAACCACATGCAACACTCCAGTTGGATCTGTGCAGCCCATTAAGAGAATGTGATGCTTTCCTCATGTTCAAAAAGGTCAGCAAATCTTGTCAAAAAAAAACTTTACTAATATTGCTTACTAAATATTCAGTGTAATTTTTCAGTTGAGTTCACATGACATTTCAGCACTCAGAGAAGTACAGTTTCACTATGACTTCATAATCATAACATTACAATTTAATATACCTTTCGGGGCAGCTTCCTAACCACAGCTATCATGGGAACATTTAATTTTAATTAACATCATTGAACTTTATGGGTCAAATTCACATTTGTTTGCTTATCCATATGTGTGATCACAGCAGAGCAGACACTTTCATTGGCATACAGGAAGAAATATATTGTAACGTGTTTAGAGGCGGTACTTCCATGGTAACGCAATGACAGTGAGCCATTGCATAGACAATGCCGAAACAACGAACATGTCTCCACGGAGATGAACAACCGAAGGCTTGCAGCATAACAACTGACTGCTGGAACAGCGGTAACAGAACCGTGAGAAATGGTGTCTGGTATCTGGTCCGCATAACACATATATAAGCAGAGCTTACAACACGTATGAACGAGACAGTTGGGACCCAGCCATGGCCAAGGACAGTTGAGATGTCACATTGAAGTAGAGGCAGTAGTTGTGATACTGCAAGTGGTAATACTTGTAAGGTGTGTAAGAGGGAGTATCCAAAAAAGATTCGCTAAATCCGAGACCCACGTGAAGTTATTTGTCGCGTGACATACCCAACACATGACATCTGGTGTCAGAAGTGGGATTAATCGAATCGAATTAAAAAGATTGGACCTGCACACGTGACAGACAAGGAGTGAACTCAAACACTCCTCGATTTATGAGGAATTATTGAATTTACGAGCACAACAAGTGTTACATTACAAAAAAAAAATGGAGTCACACCAGATAATGGAACTCCTGCTGAAGGGGGCCAGCCTGAGAGAGTTGCTGGTCAGTTGGAAAGCCTTTAGAGAAGAGATGGCAGCCATGCAAGAAAGAGTTGCCACCATACGAAACGAAAGGATAACTGTCAGGACAGAAGAGATGGGTGCTAATGCGAAAGCCTGGCTAGAAGAGATTGCCGCCACACGAGACAAAATAATGGCCACCAGGCAAGAAATGATGGATGCCAGCCACAAGAAGATAGTGGCCGAAAGCAAACCCGAAATGGACATAAAGACGTTGACCTGCCAAGAGATGGAGGCACGTCCAGAAGAGAAAAAGCCGACCTCACTGGACAGGAAACCTGAGGCAGCACAGAAAGAAGAGGTCCCCATAGAAGACACAGAAGTAACGCTGGTCACATAACTGAAGAAGAAAAGGCACAAGGACCGAAAAGCAGCCACAGAGCGCCACCGCCAGATGAACGAACGGATCCAGAGTCAGGGTGGGTGCAAGAAGAGGACTGGCCGTCGCCTGAAGAAGGATGAGCTGCCATGCAAAATTGGCAGGGCAAAAAACACAAACCAACAGGAAGGTGTCCCGTTGTGCAACAGTGGCACAACGCAGGAGATGCCTTCAAGAAGGAAACTACTCGGGGAACTTTCGGATCCCAGAGAAAGGAACTGACCATCGACAATTGTCTACGTTGTCTCCGCAAGCAACCTTATGATGAGTCTCAACCACTGCAGGTTGACCATAGCAGCAAGGAGAAACCAGCAGTGGGCACTGTTGCAGCAAGGTCTCATACCAGCAAGTGGCGGGAAGACCAGGAGGAATGACCACATCGGCAAGTGCAGATCACACTTCAAGTGCTGTTACGTGGACATAAAGAACTCCTCAAGGAAGACATGATCAAGGATTGGACACTGTGGAAAGGTGGAATGAAGGTGACGAATGAACATGAGACGACAGAATCAACAACTGCTGGACCACGGAAGTGCTCGGGGCGAGCACTCTGGAAGAGGGGGGCAGATGGAAGATTCGAGGAGGGAAGAACTGAACATCAAAATGAAAGAAGGGCGGAGGTACCGCTAGGAAGGTGAACATCTGAGAGAAAGAAAGAACCGTTAGGCTGTTCGGGGATGAACAACCTTTAGAAGGGAGCAATGTAACGTTTGGAGGAGGTACTTCCATGGTAACGCAATGACAGTGAGCCACTGCATAGACAATGCTGAAACAACAAACATGTCTCCCCAGAGATGAACAACTGAAGGCTTGCAGCGTAACAACTGACTGCCGGAACAGTGGTAACAGAATCATGAGGAATGGTGTCTGCTATCTGGTCTGCATAACGCCTATATAAGCAGAGCTTACAACACGTATGAACGAGACAGTTGGGACCAAGCCACGGCCAAGGACAGTTGAGATGTCGCATTGAAGTAGAGTCAGTAGTTGTGATACTGCAAGTGGTAATACTTGTAAGGTGTGTAAGAGTGAGTGTCCAATAAAGACTCACTAAATCCGAGACCCACGTGACCCCCAGGGAAAGAGCCCCTGGTACCCATTGGATAGGAGGTTGGATGGATCCAAGAGCCAGTCTGGATGACATGGAGAAGACAAAATTCTTGACTCTACTGGACTTAAACTCTGACCCCTCGGTCATCCAGCCCATAGCCAGTCGCCATACTGACTACGCTATCCTAGCTCCGCTACATATAGATACCTGAGGTACAAATGTGACATCTTTACTGTTTGAAATTGGACAGTCCTGCTCTATAAGTTCAAAATCCTGAGGAAATACTAGCATAATCAGAGCAGACAGATATAATTCTGCTCCTTATTCCTAAATCATCCCATAACTATGGATCAGTTTCAATTGTATTTTAAAACTGTCAGTATTAAACATACCTGAGCGTGTAATTTGTTCGGATTCTCATGCAGGAAATCTCCTACACATCCCGGAGGTGCTGCAGCCAATGTGGAAGAATTTACACTGGCTTGAGAGGCAGAAATATTCACATCTGCTCCAGCAACCAAGAGAGCCTTAACACATTCTGGCTTGTCTGCCAGGCATGCCATATGGAGTGGTGTGTGCCCATCTGCATTCCGATAGTTCAGGCATTTAGTGGACTCTGTACTCAGTGCCTAATACAAAATGCATAATACAATGGAATATGGTTGTAGGATTACAAACGTGTAACTAATTATATAGTCCAAGGAGCAAACTTTCTCTTAACAAGCAAATGGCCTAACAGCAAGTTAAGGAATTCTCAGTAGAATTTGATCTTCTGGGATACAATGCCGTGTAGTCCCAAAACTCTTCATAACCACTGCTGTGAGAACCTCAAATCCTATGAATCTGCAGTATTCTATGAACCTCAAAGACCCAGTACCACGTTCACAAAAGCTCATCACCAATCCCTATGCTTACCATGATCAACTCAGTCCATACCCTTCCACCATGGGTAGATATGACTTCTCAGAACTACATCAGACTCTCCTGTTCATAACTAAGTATATGCTCCAGATTGACAGACAAACACATTAAACAGAAATTATTATAATGCACTTACTTACTTACTTACTTACTTACTTACTCATGGAGCTGAGCCCTTCTTGAGGAGCCGCCAATCCTGCAGCTACTCAAGAATTTCCCAGAATTCTATGGAACCCGAAGGCTCTTCACCGTGTCCACAAGAGCCCTCCACCAGTCCCTATCCTGAGCCAGATCCATCCAATCCATACCATTCCATCCTATCTCTCTAAGATCCATTCTAATATTGTCCAGCCACCTACGCCTTGGTCTTCCTTGTGGTCTCTTTCCTTCTGGCTTTCCCACCAATATCCTATTATAATGCACACTCAAATTTATTTCTACATGTATCACTGCTGGCAACAATAGTTACATCGTCTTTAGGCACAGGAAATAGCTTTCCCGAAATACAGTTCTCTGAAACTAAGTAGACAGCACCTGCCAATGACCACCCCCCTTTTCCACCCTATTTCTCTAATATGCATTTTAATACTATTCTCCCATCTATGACTTGGTCATCCAAGGCATCTTTTTCCTTCAGATTTTGCTACCAAAACCTTGTATACATTTCTCTTCTTGCTCATGCATGGTATAGTGTATAACATTATATTTACCAAAATGATCTCCTTGGTCGTGTTGGCAGCATAATGAAATACAGAATTGGCCTGATTATCAAGATGCTCCAGTGAGGCTTTGGCATTCAAAAGGGTCTGAACAGTTCGCAAATTTCCCATCTTAATGGCCACTTGGAGGGGAGAAATGCCTGCATTCAGATCTGGCAAATTGAGGTAGCTGAAATTGATTGCAACAATTTTATATAAAAAACAGGAGTTCTATACAATATGTTTACAATTCAGACTAGCAGTAAGATGGATATAGGGAGTATCTTGAACTCTGTTACTGAGTCCTATTCTTTCATTTTCAATATTTGACAAAATTATATATGATACTAATATGAGCTGGGATATACTCTATCAACTATGGGAATGACTGTGTGTCATCATCACTTACTGATGCAGATCATTACATCATCATTATAAAGTTACTACAGGGTGGGGCGCAGAAACTTCCTTTTTGTGAAGACGCATGGTGAAGGGAGGGGAGGTCGCAGAAAAGTGGGGATAGGCTCGGCGAACACAGCAGTCGTGGAAGTTACTGTCTAATACCCCTCAGTAGGAAACATGAGGTGGACGAGTGAGCAGTGTGCGTTTGCTGTCGAAACCTATTTTTCGAACAACCATTCCTACGTGGTGGTGCAGCGTGCATTCCGTACTCACTTCGGAATTAAGCCCAGAGATCCGGTTCCCGACCGGAAATCGATTGTTTTGTGGGTAGAGAACTTTAGGACAACCAGGAGTGTGGTGAAAAAATCATCAGGATGACAACGGACCATTACGACGCCAGAAGATGTGGAGGCAGTTCAACAGTCGATTTTGAGATCTCCAAGACACTCCACTCGCAAACATGCAGTCACCCTAGACATATCCAATCATTCAATCCACCGAATTCTTCATGAACATCTTCATTTCCATCCCTATAAGATGGTTGTTGTACAAGAATTGTCACCATGTGATTTCCAGAACCGAATAATGGCGTGCGAAATGTTATTGGAAACCCTTACACACTTGTTTTCTTTAGTGATGAGGCACATTTTCACCTATCCAGATATGTCAACAAGCAGAATAAGCTATACTGGAGTGGTAACAATCCCAGAGAGCTCCATGAGAGGCCCCTTCACAGTGATAAGGTGACAGTATGGTGTGCGGTGTCGAAAGTTGGAGTTATTGGCCCTTATTTTTTTGAAGAAGACAATCATGCAGTTACTGCCAATTCACAGTGGTATGTGGACATGATTAAAAACTTCTTCTAACCAGCTCTTGAAGAAATGCATCTAGGAAATGCCTGGTTCCAACAGGATGGTGCCACAGCCCAAGCTTCAATGACGGTTTGGAGGGCAAAGTTCCCTGGATGGCTCATCTCACTTCGAGGTGACATCCCATGGGTAGCGCACTCAGCTGATCTAATGCCCTGTGATTTTTTTAAGGGCGTTACCTCAAGACAGAGGTTTTTAAACATCGCCCCACAAACCTGCTTCAGCTGAAGAATGTTATTCGGCAGGAATTAGCCCAAATTCCAGTGCACATGTTGGAATGTGCAGAAAGGAACTTCAGAAAACAGTTGCATCAGTGCACAGAGAACGGTGGCCACCACCTTCAAGATATTTTGTTTAAAACTACATTATTTAAAACTTTGATGTATGTTCTTTAATTAGCTAAACATAAATTTTGTCTATCAGCAATAATTCTTCTTTTATTCGCCTTCAAAAAAAGAAGTTTCTGCGCCCCACCTTGTATATTCTACTTTCAGAAATGATAATTTTGTTAAAGAAAGGATACACCGGAAACATGGCCCACTTCGCAAATCTTATTACACTTAAAAGTAAAATAATATCAAGTGCAGCTAAGCTTCAAGTATACAAAGCATTAATAAGACCTGTTGCTACATATGGGGCAGAAACATGGACCTTAACAGTAACACAAGAGAATGCACTGAGAATGTTAGAGAAAAATAATACTGTAACGTGTTTCAACACTGAAGACACCATTCAAATTGTTAATTGGTTTATTCAACAACCTACAAGTAACGGCTACAATTAATTAGCACACTGTTGTGGGTTTCCACACTTTACAAACCCTACAACAAAATCTCTTAACACTATCTTCAAGAGTCTTCACGTATTAATAACGCGGGAGCTATACAAGTCTCCCTGAATTATACACTCCAAATATAACTGTACTACAGCACACACAAAGTCTTGAAAGCACACAATAAGTCTTCCACTCGCTGACTTCTTAGTTATCGCACACTGTCACATAAAATCTTGTAACCACGTGTTCGGGTCTTCTTATCGTGACTGCTGCTATATTTCAACTCGCCTCGCAGGCAGTGCAATTCTCTTATATAGTGGCTGTGTTTGCCTGTTACGTAGCAACGCTGTTGGAAGTTGGTTACGGGTACGTAGCGTTGTGCGTTATGTCATCGCGGAGGTGGGGGAAGAAAGCGCTGACTCATCCGCCACATCACTGTAGCCTGAGTTGCCACGTTGCTGCTGGGTAGGGAGGGGTTCTCCGTTGCGCAACATGTCACAATACGCTAAATATATGGACCAGTGATGGAAAATAATACATGGAGGAGAAGATACAATGAAGAGATAAACATATTACTGAAAGCAGAAGATGTAGTAAGATTTATCAAGTCACAGAGAATAAGACGGTTGGGACATGTCGAAAGAATGGAAGATAGTACAATGCCAAAAGAATGGTAAAAGGAAGGCTTTATTCCAAAAGAAGAAAAGGAAGACCCAGGATGAGATGGCTAGACAATGTTGAGAACGGCCTGAAGAAGATGAAGGTGAAAGGATGGATAGAGAAGATGAGGAATAGAGAGCAGTGGAGACTGGTTGTAGAGGAGGTCAAGGCTCACCCAGGGCTGTAGCGCTGAGTGGTTGGTTGGTAGGTAGGTAGGTAGGTTCTATTTTCAACATTAAAATTTGTTTAGTGGGGGGTGGAGTCAAACTGGGTCCACTCGGCATGGCAGCCAATTGGCCTATTGTAGTCTGCCCCAGGTGTTTATGATGATGGAGAATTTAGTGGAATGAAGATTGGCAGGGGAAACCGAAGTACTCCGAGAAAACCCACCCCAGGGCCACTTCGTCCACCACATACCCCACTTGACCAAACCCGGGCCACCGCAGTGAAAAGCCAGCGACTAACCACTTGAGCTATGGCCCGGCCTATTTTCAACATACTTCTGGTATTGATATGTAAGTGAGTAACTGAAACACACAAAAGTCTCTGCTTCAGTAAGACATAAGGTATGACATACCCTCATTCATACAGAAGATGGACTTAGCTGTGATTTAAAAAAGCAACTGGCTATAAAATGGTTGACTGCAGTTCAATCTCGCTGACAGAGACATTCTTCTTCAACATCATATCCAAAATGGATGTCTACCAATCCTCTTATACAATAGATTATGGGGACTCTTTCCCCAGAGGTACAATGGCTACATAATGTTGAGATCTGCGATGTGTGTAGCCCCTCAATACACCTTCAAAATTACACATTATTTTTGTCTGCATGCTGTTTCATAACTTGCTAAATACCTCAGGACAACAGGATGTTGAAAGGTGTCCTGAAGTGCAAACAATGCAGCCAAATGTGCCACTGTCCAGGTTGGGTTTTCTTGCAAGGCATCACACAATTTCTGGATCCCCCCCAAGTTACAAACCTGAAAGCAACGAAACATTACAACAGTCCTTTACTGAACTGAACCTTAGGTGACACAGGAAACTTATACTGGTGACATGTGTTCACGGTTCAGCTGGCTGGGTGCTGCATCTTTCCAGTATTTTACTGTCCTAGAGTTAGGCTGTAGAGGTTTGTTTAGCAGCAACACTGTAGACTGCTATTAGGTAGAGTGCTCCAATGGGACACAACATATCCTGAATGAGGTTCTCATGATTTTTCCATCCCTCCATCCAAAGGCCAGGACAGAACCTGATCAGATACAACCACTTCCTTCCAATTCATCATTCATTAATCATCCTATCCCCTGGCACTATACAGTCTCAATACTAACAGTGTCATTAAATGATAAACTAACTGGGTTAAAATATTACGGCTACCTCCACAGAACCACAAGACATAAGGACGTTAAAGTTTATAAGAATGCAACATTACACAGCTGACCTAAGTTCATTTATTTATTTATGACTTATTTAATGACACTGGTAGTAGCTTGGATTATATACTGTCAAATGGTATGGTCAATAGTGAATTGGAATGTATGTTAGAGGAAGTGGTCATGGCATATTCAATGTAGCATCCCAGCTATTTCTGAAAGGCCTGAGGTAAACCATGAAAGACCATGGTCAGGACAGATGATCATCAGATCAAAATCTGAATCAGGGACCTCCAAAATAAAATAAAATAAAAGAGTGCTGATGCTCATCTTTCATGCTATCTTGAAATCTGACGGAAGCCATTAATAACATTTATTTATTTTACTTGATAAAAATTTTAATTTGCATTTACTTTAATCATGATTAAAGTGAGACAATATAACCATTTATTACAGTGTTATATACTTGTAACACACCGCACTTCAGAACAAAAATCTGAGCTTGTTAGTGACAGCCAAGCAACAGTTTGACAGTAATGGATAGCCATCTGTTTCCTGGAGAAGCCTTCCAAGTTTACACATGCCCCAAAGTAATATGAATGACATGTGGGAGGTAGGTGCATCTTTTTTGTAGCGTCAGAGCGACCAGACAGCGTCCCTGCTGAAGACACTGGAAGTCACACCTTGGAACAGTTCGGGTGTGTTTGGTGCCTGCTACTTTAAGATACAGGGCTGAAAACACACAGTCATCAATAGTGTTACCATACCAGTGAGTTTCTTCAATAAATAAAGGAGACATGATGGCATACAGTGCAATGGTTTGACGTAAATAAAACCACACATGAAGATGGCACATTAGTGCCGAAACATGTAGTGAAGAGAAAAGTGAAATTGTGTGCACTGTAAGACAGTTGGTACAAATACACATCATGAAAATAAAAGTTCAATATTCAATTCGGACTCCTTCAATGTTCCCCAATGACAGTGACTTCTGGCCATACAAATCATACCCTGTGCATCTCATGTTTCCAGCTCCCTGGTTTACTGCAACTTTCACTTGTACCACCTTTCGATCCAGATACTGGAAACAATTCAGGTGGCACCCTGTAAATCCATCGCTAAAGGACAGGATGGAATTTGGCAGTGTTAACCACTTGATTGCCACATTTGGTAACCTTCTAGAAATAATTAAAAGTAGTTTGATGCAATGGAATAACAACTATGTTCAGATCGGCATTTACCTAAAAAAAAACAAATTGCAGTTATTAATTCAATTAATTTTCATCACACCTCCACTCAGTCACTATCCTGTGCCACTGCTGAAATTATAATCACAACATCAGAGAGCAATTTATGATTCAATGTTAAGAGTTAAGAACATGATCTCACTTTTAATTTACCAAAGTTCATCTTTCCCTTATCGCCATTAGCCCAGATAATGAAAAATATACGGTATTGCCAACTGCCAATCGGTGATAAATAGAAGAAAGTCCCAGTCTAATTTGTATTATGCCCAAATACCCATGTCAAGAGATAATGTTTTCAATGTCATGGTGTTTCCCCAGGAACATATATTTCAAAGATAAAGGTAAGGTAAAGTTGTCCCAGTGCTTAACTAATTAACTCTTTGACTGGCACGAAGGGTATTTAAATCCCACCCCTGTCCTGGCAGGCCCTTTAAACCTTATGTCGCTAAAATGCATGTAGTTACTTTTTCCTAAACAACTTCAACAAAAATTGGTTTTTAAAAACGAAATTTTCAGGAACTAATTAAAATACAATATTTTATGCAATAAATGCCTTTCCATACCTCTTTATTAGTTTTTCTTCGTGTGATAAACATTGAAACATGAAAGTTTGCAGAGAGCCACACCACAGCCTGCACACATGATACTTGTTTCTTTTCTAACCTTGTGATTAGCACTCACGCGACACTTTCTCAGGGCACCATTCTTCTTATTGTTACTGTTAGGAACATGGACCATTTTGTGAATTTTCAAGCCACCCTCTAGACGATTTGCTGGCTCTTTCACTGGTGGTCTTTTCAAGGTCGAGGGCGGAGGCGTGACTGCACTCTAGTCTGACGCAATAGATTCGTCATCCACTTCATTCCTTGACTTTTCTCCCTCTCCACACTGTTTGTTTGGTTCAGTCATTTTTCTACACAGTCCAATATAAAATCTTTGAATCTGTAATTTCTCTTCTTGTATTTTTCGTTTGTTGTGTTCTTTTTGAATAGAATGAAACTATTCAACCGCAAAGACATGTTTTGTCCATACCATGGGTGTGAAATAGGGGCCTAGTGGACAAATATTCTTCAATTTCAGGGCGTTTGTCGATTCCTGTCATGAACACAATTCCTAAGTATGTCCAGATTTCATCTGATGTGACATAATTGTAATTGTGTTTTCGAGAGTGAGGAGCTAACTCATGTGTGTTGAAGTGCTGGTGAGCATAGCGATTGGTTTCAGTTGTGATGTGATTTACCAAGTCGTCATCCAGAAAAAATTTTAATCCATGAAAAGGGATGCATTTTATGTGTTATATCAATTTTGATCCCGAAACTATTAGCAAATGGAAATACTGGGGGTACAATGTCTCCGTACGTTCATGAGATGGGCGTGTCAGGCACCGCACTCGTGGTAGGTAAATGTTCATGATTACTGTCTTGTGGATCATTGTCTATCACTGTATTATTGTCACTATCAACTTCATCCAATTCAGGAATCATTATTTCATCGCCACTATCATCATCAGAACAAATCTCGTTCACAACATTTTCCAGCTGGTCTGTAGGAACACGAAGACACTTGCTGCAAGAAGCCATGGTGAAACTGAATGAATGTGAAATATTTTCTGACCTTTTCCTTCTCAGAGGGTTCTGACAGTAATATAGACCCCCACAAAGTTTACAAGGGTTCTTTACAAACATGCACAAAAACTATCATATATATGTCTTTGGTTGATGAGTGCCAAGAGAGCAAAGAAGGGAAGAGATTGTCAAAGCATTAAAACACGCCAACGCCAGGGAACGGCTGGCATCGTCCGGGCGTTAAAACACGCCCGCGCCAGTCAAAGAGTTAAGCACTATGCCATAAAGACACATGGGGGAGTGGATGTACAGATCCACATTTTCTTTACCCTGGCGCTAGTTTGAGGTGAGTGGTCAGCTTCATGTCCCCGCCGCTTTACCCCCAGGAAAGAGCACCCTGTACCCATTGTACAGGAGGTTGGGTGAACCCCAGAGCTAGTCTGGACGATTGGAGAAGTGAAAATTCTTGACCCTACCAGGACTCAAACTCTGACCCCTGGGTCATCCAGCCCATAGCCAGTCGCTATGCCGACTACACTATCATGGCTCCATATATTTCAAAGACAACATCAAAATCTGGTCAGACAATCTGCCATCCTACATATTTATGTAAAAAAATACTCACCTCTCGTGATATTCCAACAAGAAGTGGCACTTTATCCTTCAGCTGCAAAAATCTGACTTCTGCCTCGTGAAGCTCATTTGAACGATACAAACTACAAAAACAAACAGAATGACACAGAACACATTTCTCAAGTAACTACTTCCATTACAGGATATACTGAACTTGTGCAATATAAATAAGAAATGCATTCCTGTACAGACAGCAGCATTTTTTTAACAAATTTCTATGTCCACTGAATCATGGAAAAATACCCAAGGATTCTTATTCCTTTTTCTGATCAGTATGAGCGGTATGACCACGAAAAAATTCCGTTCTAAGGATTAGTGCAGTGAGTTGAAAACCATACAAACATTTGTGTACTTGGAAGGATAAAAAATTGCAATTCCAATTTTCACCAAACCCAAGATCATATACACCTTACACCTTCTAGCCACTGTGAACAGATAGTTTAATTTTCAGCTCACTCCCTCATTTCTAAGGCAAGACAGGCTTATGACATGACGACATAGCTGTGTCTGCTCTCAGCCATAATTATGTATGAACCAACTGATGGATTTCCACAAAACTTGATATGAAGATCATGCCACTAGAGAACACCCCACCTTCGTAAAGTAAAGCACAGATAAGGCTGGCCCTCTGCTTAATTTAGCATTAGACATGAAGACAGAGAGCAGAATGGAGGTACACATTTCTAATGTCAGCACTAAATGGAGGTTAGTTTTCTGCTTCATATCCCAGTCACTCACTTCCAGAAAAAGAGGCACTGGTACCTGTTGGATAAAAGGCTGTGAGGGACCCAGAGCCAATTAATCTAGATGCTTTGGAGAGGGGAAAAAATCTCTTGCCCATACCAGGAATGAAACCTAGGTACTTCAGCTGTACAGCCCTTTGTAATTCCCTTTCATCAACAATTCCAAAACACTAACCATACAACCTTTTGACAGGGAACTAACTAGCATCCCTTACAATTTTATGTAGGCACTAGAGTTTCAATGGCTGATAACAGTGGCTGTGCAGTCTAAGGCATGAATTGTCTTTGCTTGCTTGAATACTGGGATCATAGATTCAAATCTAACTCAAGGCATGGACATCTGTGTGCGTTTATCCGTGTTTGTATTGTCATGTGTGTAGGTAGTGACCTTGCGACAGGCTGATCACATGTCCAAGAAGCGCCACTGACTGCGTAAAAAAGATTAAAAAAACTGAAGAAGAGGCCAGGGTCCAACAAAGGGCTGTAGAGCCCTTGATGAATGAATCAATGAATGAACCAGAGTTCAGCATTTGCACCTACAAGAGATTATGTAACTGAAGAATGTAGAAAATGATATGAGGAGCTTCGTGACACATATTTCCCTTAGAACCTTTGCAGAAGTTGCACCTTGCTGGATGTGTAGCTCAGAAAACATGAAATGCATACAGAAATGTTAAGCCACCATTTGTAAGACTTAAACTGAAGCAGAAGGATCATATTAAAACTGATCTTGTGAAGAGCAGCTGTGAACTGATTTAAAATGGCTTCAGATAGGATCTGATGGTTTTTTGTGTCTGTTATCCTGGACATTTCAAACCTACGAGCAAGAGTTATTTTTTTTTCTTAAGTTGGTCATTTAATGATGCTGTCAGTATCAAAACTGAACAGTGTCAGATGACAGGATGATAAATGAATGTGCAGCAGTTGATGAAATGAGAAATGGCAGAGGAAAGTGAAGTGAAGGTATAGCTGCACCATTCTTGATCTTGACAAGGATTAAGAAATGGACACCATGTGCCACAATTGGTATAATCCAAGCTATGGCCAAAAAGACAAAAACCCTATGCAGAAAAGCAACATTCCTGATGTTGTTTCCTTTGTGAAATCACACTGGATCATCGAGGTAAAAACGGATAAGAAATGAAACGCCTTCGTCCAAATCTAACGTTTACTGGAGACTAACTTCATTCACAAACATTACAAGATACCAAAGGTACAATAACAAAAGAAAGTAGCAGTGGGTGTGGTACCAACTTATGAACAATATATATCACAAGATAAATATGGCCAACACTACAACTATAGTACTACAACACCTCCCCTTGTTGGACATATTTTACAGTCAAAATCTATAACTACAATAACCAAAAGTAAAACAAGTTTACAATTCCACAGAGATAAAATTCATTTATCTCTGGACCATTAGTAGCTTTAGTCAGCATATCAGCACAATTAGTGCTTGAATCTACATACTGGATACTAATATCTCAATCATTAACATATTCTCTAATCTTATGTTGCCGCATTCTAAAATGCTTGTTGCGTTCAGTAATCTTATTCTTTGTGCACATAAGATTTGCCTGTAAATTGTCTCCAAAGATTATACTAGGAGTAGATACTGCTACATTAATTTCTGACAGAAACTCTCTCATCCAAATAACTTCCTTGCTACACTCATATAACGCTATATACTCAGCTTCGTTGGTAGATGTGGCTACAATGTCTTGTTTCTTGGACTTCCAAGACACAGCTCCTTTTGACATCATGATAACATAACCTGCCACGGATTTACTGTCATGTACATCGTTAGCAAAATCAGAATCAGAATAAATTACTGGGTCAACTTCAGATTTTTCATAGGTCAGCCGGTATTTAATTGTATGTTTCAAGTATCTCATAATTCTCATCACCTCCAGCCATCTCCCTTTGGTCGGACAATGGCAAAACTTGCTGACTTGATTTGTTGAAAAAACAATATCTGGTCTAGTACAAGTGGCAATGTACTGCAACCTACCTACTGCTGCCTTGTACTGAATCTCATCAAAGGGCTTGTCACCATCAAGAAAATTGTTATAGTTTGGGTCCCTTGGAGTTACACATCCTTTACAATCGAGCATACCAAAAGTTTTCAGTGTTTCATTCACATAATTTTCTTGATGTATTTTAATTACATATCCATTGGGTCTATCCACATTAATACCTAAAAAATTTGACACAGGTCCCAAATCTTTAACGTTTAACCTTTGAGAAAGTTGTCTTTTGCAGTCATTCACATCCTTTCTAGTTCCACAAATAATCATATCATCGACATAAATAGCCACAATAATCCTGTCATTAAAGAAAACACATGGATCTTTAGTACACTGTTTCAATCCGAAACTGACAAAGATGAAAGTAATAGTATCATTCCAGTCCTTCCCAGATTGATGTAATCCATATATGCTTTTCAAAAGTAAACATACATCATCAGCATTACCCTCTTCAAACAGTTCGGGTTGGCGCATGTATACAATTTCTTTCAGAGTACTATTTAAATATGCACCTACAACGTCGACATGATCAACCTCCCATCCTCTATCAACAGACAAAGCCATTAGGATCCTAAAGGACGCTCGTCGCATTACTGGGCTATAGCTATCCCAGAAATCTATACCATAAACTTGATGGAAACCTTGGGCTACTAACCTGGCTTTATACTTAAAAGTGCCATCATCTTTCTTTCTCAGGCTAAATACCCACCGGGAACCTATAACATTAACATTCTTTGGTTTTCTCACAACTTCCCAAGTTTGATTTTTCTTCAAGTTCTCTATCTCTAATTTCATTGCTCCAATCCAGTGATCTCTATCAATTCTACTAAGCGCCTCCCCTACAGATTTAGGTTCTGCCAATGTAATTTCACCACAATCTACTTTAGCACAACATTCACATACAACTTTCTGCTTAATAGTTCTCGTGGTTCTACGGGGTTGTACATTTTCTTGGGGTACATTTTCCAAATTATCCACATTTATGTCATTACCTACTATACTAGGTTTATCATCATTCTCATCTACACTGGGATGTGACCCACCCACATTGTCTTCTGTATCAGTACAGTCTGAATCATATACATAAATGGGTGTTTCACTCTTAGTCTGAATCACAGTCTTTCGAATAATAGTCTTATAAGGAAAAACACTTTCTTCAAACCTAGCATCTCTGGATATGCGAATCTTCTTCTCATTTACACTATAGAGTCTATACCCTTTAGCGTCCCTAGCACTACCAAGGTAAATACATTCAACTGCTCTGCTGTCAAGTTTATCCTTGACATTTAAATTCAGATCCCAAGCCCTGCAGCCAAAAACTTTCATTTCTCTGGCCATATCTATAGTAAATGCCTTCTTAGACCAGACTTCAATGGGAATTCTTCCTTGGATTGCTTTAGATGGGCAACAATTTCTAATATTACTTGCGGTGAGTACCGCCTCTCCCCAGAAAGACTTCGGCAATCCTGCATTCTCTAATATGCAACGAACAATGCATAGCAAAGTTCTATTCAACCTCTCAGAGCGTCCATTTTGTTGTGGGGTTCTAGCTACACTTAACCTTCTGCCTATTCCTTTCTGATCCAAGTATTCATTAAATGCTGCACTGCAATATTCTCCCCCATTGTCTGATTGTAAAAATTTAATTCGTCTCTCTTGTAACACTTCAACTTTCTCTACATATCTTTGAAAGGCTGGTAATACATCACACTTGTTTGTTAAAACTTCAACAGTTGAAAATCTTGAGTTATCGTCTAAAAAGGTTACAAAATACTGTTTCCCACCCAAGCTTTGTGGTGTAATTTTTCCACATACATCTGAATGTATCACCTCCAAAACATTCTCTGCACTTTTGGAATTCTTACAAAATTTCTTTCTGTGTAACTTTCCTGTGATGCATACATCACAATTTAATTGACACTCATCTACACCACAAAACTTTGGTAGGGTTTTCATATGTCCAAATCTCTGATGCCATATGGCTTCACACTTCAGGGCCTTGGCCTTCATAAGATTCATTCTCTTTTCTATTTCCACCTTACTACTTATACTACACATCAAACTCTTGCCTGACACTGTATAATATTCACACTGAAGATGGTATAATTGATCTCCCTTTCCCCTGGCTACAAAAATGACAACTCCATCCTTTGAGACTGTTATTATCCCATTCTTTATATGTGCTTCACAACCCAACCTATCTAATTGTCTCATTGACAACAAGTTACAATCCAAACCAGGTACATATGAACAATTATTTAATCTTAACTTCTTGCCTCCATATTCATTTGTTACCTTTAAGGCTACACTCCCTTTACCCAGCAAAGGAGTACTCGTCTTCCTTTTCGCCATCATGACGTTTCCTCTTACACCCTCATTTAAGTTGTCGAATATATCCTTGTAGGGAGTCATATGGTGGGATGCTTCCGAATCAAGAATCCACAGATCCCTGAACTCCTCGGACCTACTTCCTGCATGGGCTGTCATGACAAATTCCTCTGTTGTGGAAGCGTGCTGGGCCCATAACCTGTTGTTTCCTTTGTGTTCCTCTGCTACTACAGCTATTTCTTATTCTTCATTCTCCTTTTGAACTTCTGCTATTTTGGCGGTTCCCCCATTATTCTTTAGGACATTAAACTTTGGACACAATTTAGCAATATGTCCAGCTTGATTGCATGCAAAACAAATTACATTCTTCTTTACATTTTGGTCACAATTGATCCCTTTACTTTGGTTTTTGAATTTTCCATCACGTTTTGGGTAATAATTATTATTCTTCTGGTACCTAGATTCTCTTCTAAGTAAAA